GAATGGCGAATTAAAACCGGAGAACTTCATGTCTGGCTTCGATTATGTACCCGAACATTTTTGTGATGCAATCCTAACAGCTGCCGCTGTATCCAACGGTCAGCAACAGCACATGCAGCATCAAAAGGATCAGCAACATGCGGCACAACAACAGCAGCAGCAACAACAACAACAGCAACAGCAGCAAGATCATACGAATAATGATGGCGAAACAAATGATGCACCCGGTTCGTCTAATCACACCGACACGCATGGTGGTTCATTCCAGACTCCCGGCGTTAGCATGCAATCACATAACGGTGACCATGTCTCGGGTAGTAGCTCGTCACAGCAACACAATTCCATGCCACATCTGCAGGCGTTTCACGGTGGCTTGCATTCGCATTTGTTGCGTCGCCAGCAGCATGCTGCTGCTGCAATGCAGCGTGAATCTGCATTCGAGGAAAAACTCTTGCAATTTATGCAAGATGCCTTTCCAAAGAAAAGCAAAAAACGTAAGAATCGTGATCCGGATAAGCTGTTTTTACTTTCGCTCTACGAGGAGATTAAGCGTGTGCCCGAAGAGATTCGCCTTGATGTAAAGGGCGAACTCATACAGGTGCTAAAGAAATACCAGAAGAAGGCACCGGTTAAACAGGAAAAACCCCAGTCGCAAACACATACACAGTCAGCATCGTCGTCGTCGAGCAAGCAAAGCTCTTCTACGGCAAATGATAAAATACAATTAGCGCAACATACACAACTATCACATAGCATGTATCAGCTGCAGAAGAAATATGATAAGAATGAAAAGGAAGCCTCGCCGCAATCACAAGTCGAACGTGTCTCGGCATCGGCTGTTGCACTACATGCTCAACAACAATTGCCACACGCGCTATTCCAATTGCAAAAGAAGTATGACGAGGGTGCCGAGAAGGTACATCAACAGAATGAGCAACGCAAACATGTTGATGGTAACCACCAACAGCACAATAGTCATCAGCAGGCGCCGGCACCACCCACCAGTGAACAGCATTTGCATCATCCACAAATGGCACATGGCATTATGTTCCCATTGCCACAAATACGCAACGAGCAACCCACAGCACAACAGCATCATACACATAACCCACATCAGCAACAGCCGCAACATAACCCACACCAACAGCAGACGCAACAACATCATCCGCCCACCATATTTGGCACATCGGCCGCCTCCAGTGCCATGAGTACCGAGCGGCCAGCCATGGCGTATGAGAATGTCGGATGAATGCTGAGCCGCCTATGGGAAGCGGCATGCGAGGGCCGCATGCCGGTAACGACGACGTCGACGACAATGGCGGCGCTCGCATATGGGGAGACATGAAAGGGGAATGTTTACCCGACAAGTTCTACATGTACATATAATATCTACTAAACATACAATGCTAGTATACAATATTAAAAAAGAAAGAAAAAATATATATAATTAAAATAACTCGAAATCACTTATATAAATATGCATACATATAATACAATATAATTGTTAATATTTGTAATGAACGTTTTGCTGTATTTCTATTCTTTCAATTCATTTTAACGCGCCAATTCTGCCAATACAAGTACATACAGACATGCATAATTGTGATCGCAACTTCATTGATATGTTGAGGATTGTCGCATACGGCGCGGATGCAAAACAAATTAAAGGGATTTATCAATTGTGTTGTCAGGTGTGTTTCTGAATGCATTTAGCATTGTTAGATGCTTTTTGAAAAACAAGGAATAACAGGTCTATATATGACCTATTACTATGCAAAGTGTTTTGTAAATTATGCAAAAACATTCGAAGCCTAGGGGATGGGTTCACAGCTGGTAAATGGGATTGCTTTAGCACGAGTTATAATTAGTGACACAGTACATAGTGTGTAACTATGTGTATGTACTATGCAGGTAGATTAGCACATGTTTGTGTGCTTTTATTATTTGTATCACTCATTTTTATATGAAGGTGCAATTTTTTACGTAGTCATACTCTTACAAAATATGTACCGGTATATATGTAAATACTTACATATTTTTTTTATATTTTTACAAATAGAAAACCATAACCATAAAAATAGTAGTAAAACGCGGATACGAAAAAATTCCTATTGGCAATTTATTTTGTATAATATGCATGTAAACACCAGATGTAACTAGGTAAGTAATTATTGAAGGGGTCAAGGGCTTTTAGCTAAATGTAGTTGCGCTTGGATGCCTTCCACTTAGAAGTGATTCAAAAGAAATCCTACCGTTTTAAATATTTATACAGATGTATGTATGTATATAAACTGCGAAGAAAAAACATGTTTACTTTTGTTTAAACTTGTATTTAAGATACGTTAGAGTATTTATGAAAATTTTCTAGCTGAGTCAATACAAGTATTTTTTAAGAGAGGTTAAACGTTGCCTTAAAAATCTTTAACAAAAGCGACTTGGTGAAATTTAATAATAATTCCTTAAGAAAAATTTTAAAAATTCGGTATCAATTCTTTGTGGTTATCTGGAATTAAGTTGAATTAGTTAGAAATTTTAGAAGAATTTTGGGCAGAACTTGTTTTTTTTAACTATTTAATTAGAGAGAAGGAAAGGTTGCATTATACAATGAATATTTTCAGTTGTTTGTCTTATTTTATTTGTATTTATTTATGCCATTCTGTTTTTTTTTATTTAATTTGTATGGGTTAATTTTAATTTTGTAATAGATATTTCATATTTATTTAATTTGTTGATATTAATTGAATGAAACAAATTATCGCAGATTAACATACACACATACAGATAACAAATTGTATTATCGGTGAATGAATTAATAAATTTCGTAATTAATGGTTACCTTACATCGATGCCCTGAAAGGGCGGAGCTCATAAAATCACATTTGCATTTAAACAACATTTATATAGTAGAAATAAACAATAATTTGTACAGTTTTGTGCGAAAAGCTAGCAACACGAGGGTGCTCATCGACAAAAGCTAACTTTCTAATTAAGAATTGCAGTATATTTGTATGCAAATTTCTTTTTATTGGCGACGTAAATTGAATGTGGGCAGTGGAAAGCCGTTTTAGCAGCAATCAGCATCCAGGCGCATGAAAGCAACGCGCTTTGTTGCCTAAGCAAATATTGTGATGATAACTGTAATTATTTGCTTTGTCTTAACGTGACAAATTTCTAGCAGATTGTATTTTTTTAAGATTATATCGCAGGTACAAAAGCTATTTTTGTACAGTACTAATTGGATATTCGGAACAAAAAGTATTGTGGCAAAAAAAAGCTCCTCCGGGAGCTGTAAGGAGAAGATGGTACAATAGATCTCCCGGTCGCAGTGCATACTTAACCAATCTCTATCTATCTATCGTAGAGGAAGAGCGTCAGCTAAATCGAAAGCCTTGTACTACTCTGGCACAATTACGGTCTGAATACTGTAGCAATCGAAACGCCTCTATTCACCCAGACTTGATACCAACAAACTCTTCACATGCCCCTCAAACTCACTCAACTAACACCAGTCGAGACGAATTAGATTTGTCCATGCCAACATTTGATAATGATGTCTCTGGACTACTTTTATGAGCAGGGAGTAGAGGGAAGAGTTTTCCAATCAAGGAAAACTTTAACTTGTATAGACAAGAAACGGAATAATCTGGGCGTACTTATGACCAGACGCTACTCTCTCTAGTAAGGCGGCGCTTTAGGCTCGTTTCCTTGCCAACTATCATAACATCCATCTACTATGGGTACTAGGCCGCAAGGGAATAGAGGGATAGACTTAGCAACGAAAGGTTTCAGCGATCTAAACAGGGTTGGGTAAAAATTGGGTGGCACTATTACGGTCTGGAAACAGTAGTAAGTTAAACTCTTACTTATCCAGCCAAGACCCCGACGTACTCACAGCGTATGTATGCATATGAAAGTTCCGCTTACGACAGCAACTACTTCTGTATATGCTTTCTACCCAACTCAACTTACATTCTTCTCTGTTTTGACCGACCTCGTCACTTTTCCTGGGCCTGGTGTTAGTTGAGTTTGACGACAACTATTGAAGGATTAACCTAATTCTAGGGAGCGTTAAGTAGCCGCAAAAAAAAAATAACCAACCACAAACGAGTCAGCAGATGGACTAGCTAGGAAGGCGGCGGCCATAACTCCAATTGGGCCTGAGCTCTCGTGACACTGGGACCAAATAAATTCAAAGAAGAGCACAGAAAGAAGAGAAGATTAAAGAGTGGTCAGCACTGGCGACGCTCAACAGGACTACGCCAGACAAAGTGCTGACTTCAGGATATAGTACTTAGCTTAAAGAGATTCGAATTTTTAATCAATCTCTCGAAGTTGAATTGTTAAAGGCGTTCTTATAGGACACTACACAGACGGGAAGGCCATCTGCCTAAACTGGGTATCTGTTAAAACGACCTCAAAACATTGTTACATCTTCTGCTCGAATGTGACGCTATCTTCAGGTGACGTATGAGCAGCTTGGCTCAATGTGGCCTTAGTACGAGTTTATTTCCTTCCTATCTTCTAAAGCTATTTTGAACTAAGGATTTTAGCTATCAAAAAGGAGGCGGAGGTATAGAGTAGTAACCGAAAAAATGGGAGAATTAATCTCAAGAAGTTTGGAGCCATGACTGAATTATACGTTGGCCAGTTTGTGCACTTATTGTGGGTGTCTGGACATACTGGCGTCATTGGAAACGAAGAGGCAGACAAAATTGCCAAGGAAGGCGCTCATTTGGTGGCAGCAGAAAGACAGACTCTACAAAGAGGGGACACCTTCGACAAACGCACCAATAGCAGATGTGCCGATTTCACTACAAGCAATTGTGGGGAAGTCAAGAAAGGTGAGGGGTACCTAGAACTAAGTATCCAGATTATGATAACACGCACAAGAAGTTTATTATATCTGAGTAAGACGATAGGCTGTTAGTTGGCGATGTGGTAAGAAGACACTGTTTGAAAATGCGGATCGAATGAGTACATTGTGGAGCTTATACTCTGCGAATTTCCAGCCCTTAAAAGAGCTATGACTGCGCCTTTTGGAAGCAGGTTTTGCTGCTGGATCCAGGGGTCGTTGCTGTATTTTTGGTAGCACTAGAGACCATCTCTGAGAAGTAGGCAGCGTTTCCTAGCCGGCTCAACCAGCTGTCATAAAAATGCTACATAACTCTTGTATAGGTCCCGGGGCATAGGGACATTCCTGGCAATTGCAAAGCCGACGAGCTGGCAAGAAGAGGAACGAAAATACTCGAATCCAAATCTGCTCAAGACGCGGTCAAATCTCTAGTAGCCGGAAGACACAGATAAAAGACTGAACTCATCGAGAACGTAAATACCATAAAACTACCTGTGATACTACCAGGAAAATTTGGCTGAAAGTGTAGTCGGGGACAATCACTGAACACTGCCAGATGGGCACGCATAGAAAGAGGTTGGTATACCCAAGGAAGAGGTGGAGAGAAATAAACACCATCTCTGCCACTGTACCGTCATATTTAAGACGCGCCTGCAATTCTTGGACATGTACTTTTTGGATTGCTTTGCCGACCTGAATACAGCGAACTTTCTAAATCTTTTGTGTTATATGCATACTTAAGACGCATTCGGTCGTTAAATTTTCAAGGGAGGTAACGAAGCGAATGGTTTCCGCCGTTGCTACCACAACAAGCTTTTCTCAGTCTACGTACACTGCCGTGCTCTTGCGCTATGGCAGCCACTCTAACCTAACCTAACCTACCTAACCCACTCTCGTAAAAATATCCGTAAAAGGGCGTCATTTGGTAAGAACTATGTAGAAGTTTCAAATTGAATTATGCAGCATAGTTTCGAGAGCTAAAAAAATAATTTAAGTTGACGTTCTTGCCGTTTGTAGTTTCTTTTGACGAATTGTCACAGCTTTTGGTATCAAAACATCTAAAGGTACGTGCTTATGATTTTTTTTCTAACTTCCTCGCGAGCAAAGTTTTATTTGCATTTGCATACACAAGCATTTCAAAAGGATTATAAACACTTTTATTCCTTCTTTCACCTCTTATCTGTTACTTTTCTTATCATTCAAACAACATCACTTTGTTTACTAGAAATGTCTTTGTCTCAATGCAACCGCACACTCGACACGATTTTCACTGTTATTATCTTCCAAGTAAGCCCTAAATTCATATCGTAATTTACTCTCTGTGGCATAACACCTTGGCGTGCCGCAAGCATTGATGGATTAGGAGAAGCAGCAGCAGATAAACAAATTCAACAAATTCTCAGGTTGTGTGTGATAAGCGATCGTGCTGAAAAGAGCGTAAGAGATTGAGAGGATTGATGTGAGAACGCTAGGCGGAAGAGGCAGGTGGGCATGGCAGAAGGCACCTGCATGCGTACAAATGTACCCTGCAGTGAAAAGCCAA